GTAGAAGCCAATTTTGAAAGCAAACTTGCTTTTATTTTCAATTTTCAAGTGGGCATTGGGGATTTAAAAAGTTGTCAGTGATGGAGAGGGGAGAGGCTACTGCAGTTTGAAAAAATGGAGGGAATTCAGTATCTCAGAAGATTTTATATATACCTGCCATTTGATTTGACTTACACAAACACATTGTGAAGGAACTGTTTTCTCTTTCTTTCACTGGGAGCTTATCACCTCTGGAATATGGGCACCCCGAAAACATTATCAGATGTCTTCTTGCTGTACTCTTAGGAAGTTAGGAAGTTGTATGACAATTTTTGTTGTACACGCAGGGAAGCAAGGTGCACTTATTAAGGCTCTAATTCTGCATTTCACTACTACTGGGCACTTCTTCGCACACATGCACACTCACGTACACTGCTGGATGGGGTATACAATGAGATGATTTGCTTAAGGTCATACAAGAAGTCTGGCACAACCTGGCATTGAACCCATTTCTCTTGAGTTCCAGTCCCAGGCTTACAGACACAAAACCATCCTTTTTCTAATGCCCCATCTTGTATTATTGATTGTAATATGTATTATTCTAAAGATCACAGGATTTGCATTTTCAAGATGCATGTCTTTAGTTAAACTTTGTTGTATTTGATTCATTCTCTGCAACAGCGTTGAGGCTTGTTCTTCACTGGTAATAGTTTCCTGAAAATATGTTTTGGAACGCTGACCAAGACCTTAACATTTCAGTTTTGGGCTTGAATTGTAACTAAGGTCAGAGGTCATATGTTTGCTTAAAACTTTTTGTGGTAATATTTGAGACATGGCCATCTCATTTCTGATGACCTTGCGCACTGAATGGGTACTGATGCAAGTGTCTCTTGTCAGTCTGAAATGTGTTTATACTTACGATTTCCAAGGAACATACATCTCATTTAACAGCAAAAAGTGTAGCTCATTTTAAGCCAGGACACAACCTGCATTGATTCCCTTGGCTATGCATGGTACAAAGAATCAATGTAGGATGTGAGAAATGGTCTGAAGTGTTTTCTGTTATGGAGGGTGGGGAGGCAGCATCAGCCAATCTATTGTGGTTACCTTCATCACAGACGAGAACACAAGGTGGCCTCAAATGCTGTGCAGTGTGGAAAAGTGTTTTAATTTAAGCTGGTATGGATGTACCAGCAAAACCTTTCAAGTGTAGATGTACCTTATATCAATAAAAATGCCTAGCTGGCATAACTCCCACAATAAGAGATCAGCAAAAGCACCTTTTTACTTGTGTAATAACATCCGACTAAGGTTTTTGCTAATTGAAAGATGTCATTAAAAATCACACTAACAAGTGGTGTTAGTATATTAGCAAGCGCTTCCAGTGTGAACCTGACCTGACAGTCTTCTCTGTGTAGAGACCATCTCTTACCATATGAATGTGCAGCACCTAACACATGGGACTGATTGCAACTGAGAACTACAAGTGCTACTGTAATAAAAAACTATTAATGATCACAAACAATAAAAATAAAAGAAGAAATATCTTCATGAATATTTCCCAGTGTCAATTGTTCAGCTAATTATACCTTATCAAATTACTTTTCCTTATTAAGAGTGGTCCTTGCTGTTGTTTACATGGTGCTTATTGTTTGGTAAGGCAATACTTGTTGCGTGGCTTCCTCGTATAGTCGCCAACTTAGTGTTTGTTATGGCTGTTCTACCAGTTAGTGGGTTTGTACTTATCCATTCAACAACGGGTATAAGACTTTAGAATAGAGTGGAAGGATCTGATGTAAAGTTTAAGACATTTTTCAAATAGATGCCCTGCATCTTGATTTGAATTCTTTGTTCAGTCTAGATCATTGCTGTCCCATTTTAAAACAAAAAAATCCAACTGGGAAACGACAGTATTTATTCTTTCAAAATAAGCCGAAATCTGCAAGCAGATATGATTGCGGGGCATTTCCCAGTGGAGGAAAGTGTATTTGCCCAAGTAGCTGGTCATCAACAAAAGCAAATGAGAATAGGGTCTGGGAAAAACTGCACGCCTTGCTCTTCTTTTCCTTCCTGTGGATCTTGCTCCCATCATCCATGCTTTTGTCACCTCCATGCTGAACTATTGCAACATGCTCTTCATCAGGCCACATCTTAAATCAGTGGGGAAGCTAGGGCTGGTGCAGATGGAGTTTTGCTCTCTCTTTGTAAACAGTGTAGAGAGCGTGAGTTGTCTCTTCTCTGGGTTCTGTGCTGGTTACCAGGGAGTTCTAGTCACAGTTTTGGTTTGTAAAACCCTTGGTAGACTGAGAATGAGACTCCAGTTACTTCCCATGAAGCCCTGCTGCAGTGGCAGTCAGCTGAGGCACTTGTGCTGGATCATAGTAAATAAGTGTGGGGGGGAGGGGTGGTGATCAGGAACCAGTCCCAGGCACCCATTGGGGGGTGGTGCACAGCCATCACCACTGCTCTCCCAACTGTTGCGCCACTGCCAGCGGCCCAATTGCTACCGCTGCCTCATGCTGCTTCTTTCCAGGGTGCAGAAGTGCCTGCTTACACCTCTGCTGGTTCCCCCCAATATAGTATCAGTATAGTATTAATATTAATATTAGTATAGTATAGTGCGTTCTTCAAAGGGTTCCAGGGCTTTAGAATGCCCTGTAGCCACTGGGTGGGTGGATTCCTTTCCAAGCCAGGATCCATAGGGTGGCATGTTTAATTGTGTACTGCAGCATGGGAGAAGGGGCAAACTGACTATTACATTTTTGCTTTGGTAATTCTAAATAATTAGCCTGTGACTATATACTGCTGCTTCATAATCTAAAGGAAGTAAATGATCTTTCCAGATGCGTGCTATTCAATCAGATGGGTACCAACCCCTGAGGGGAATCAAACAGGCTGTCCACTGGGAGTACTCAGCCCCTGCAAAAAAAGTCTACTTATCCCACGTTGCACACCAAATGTAATGGATGCTTCTGGAGTTCAGCACATCATGCTGAAATCTCCACGTATATCCCATTACTTGCAGAGAGTAGAAAGCTATTTATCTTTTTCCAGTGCTCTTATCTGGGGAATGGCTAGTTCCTTTATCACGTCCCTATTTAACCTCACTAGCAAGGGATACAAAAATAATGTGGTTTTTTTTTTGTTTTGTTTTGTTTTGTTTTTTCTTTTTTCTCCCAGGCTGTCAGCGCTCCATAGGCCTCTCCAATGGAAAAGCCAAAGTGTGCAGTTACAGTGGGTGGTATTACTGCAGCACCTGCCATGTGGATGACAGCTTTCTAATACCTGCACGGCTAGTACATAACTGGGACACTTCAAAATACAAGGTAATCTCCATAGGGGTTGGGTGAGACCAAGTAAGCTGGATGCAGTGTAATAAAAACAGAAGCAATACTGCAGGACAAGAAATGATGTACAGTAAATTCATATTTGTTCCTTCAACCACATTCATCTATCCCAAACATGTGGCTTACCTACAAATCTGTTACTTCTCAACAGCATCTTTTCAGGTCTGCAGCAGCCACATCATGCCTTTGCATCCTTGTTTAAGCCTCAAGACATCTCCTTGTGGGAGGTGCCATGCTTTTCATTTTGGCTGATCCACTTCCAGTACCACTTCTCTAGTCCATGTGTTGTACCATCTCTCTTGATCTTCATCTTCATAGCCCTCAAATTCTGGCAAGCTCTGACATTGTCTCTTCCTCCTTAGCTCACTGAAAGAACTGGTGGATCCCATGATAACACCCTTGGATATTTGGAATTAAACTTCCTTGTAGGGATTGGGCACAAAGTTTATGGAGTGCACTCCCCTGGAAGGCAGAATGATCCCAGTTTGTGACTGCCTTTTGAGCACAGTGGACTCGGTCTCTTAGCACAGGCCTTCTCGTTACATCATGAGGATTGGACTGCAAGACTTCATCAAATACAAGCAGTAGAAATAATTCAAGAAAAGAATCCCATGTTCACTCATTGTATGAGGATGAGATGGAAAATAAAGAATGGTCTTATAGACAGAATTTTAGCTCAAACTGTTTTAACCCCATGGCACCCTGGGTGTGCTGATTGGTATACAAATATGAATGAAGGGCTATAGAGAGAGAATAATGTTAGTAGCCATTTAATGCATCTTGGGATCTTTCACAAAGGGCATAAAAATTGTGCATAGAACACACATTTTTATTAGTCTTTTTTTCATGGGGTTAACTGTGTTTTGCTATTGCAGGGAGAGTATGCTGAAACAATAACAAACCTATAAGAAATCAAGACCATACTAAAGCTTCAAACATAAGTCATCGCCAGGAATGGCTGTTTGATGTTTTGTGTCTGTAAATATTATTAATATCTGTTGTTTGAAAAAAAAAAAATAGCCAGTAAGTGCTCTATCAGAGGAAAAGCAGGCTCTCTCAAAGAGGAAAATTTGTCAAAAGAGAGATTATTAAAAGGAAACCAGAGTCTGCCCTCAGAAAAATGAAAGTCCTCTGCCAAGTAATATAAGATTTTTCAGAAGTTAATGAACTTCTTGCATAAAGCAGCGAAGAGTTTGTCTTCCGGAGAAGCCAGCTCTAAATATTAGAGTTTTCTCTGGATGCCACTCTCGGGTACCTACTATTTGCCTAAGCAGGGTTAGGAGAAGAGGCACTGGTATGGGTTAAATGATGATAAAATAGGCAGACATCATATCAGTGAGACTACAGAAGAAAGTGGATTTTTAAATCAGAATTTAAAAACTATACCTGGTTCCGAATGGTTTGGTTATAGGAGGAAAGAAAGTGCCCCAGTTCTTTGAACACGCATAAGGACAGGTCTCTTAGGCTTTTATTTAAAATCAAATTCATTCTAATTATAACAGCAAGAAATTAACAATTTGTACTTTGCACTTTGCAAAAGGGCAGTACAGGCACAAATTCTCACTTGGATGAGGGCAGTGCCAAGATTAGGTCCTCCCAACCTCCCTCTGTCTGAACACCTCACAAACATTAATGTATCTGTATATGCCCCTCCAGCATAGAGAACTATCATCATCCTCAATTCACAGAGAGTGACCTGAGAGATGGAGATTGTGTCACTTGGTCAGGGTCATGTAGAAAGCCTGTGGTAGAGCTGAAAATCAGATCTAAATCTTCTGAGTCCCAGCCTAGTCCCTTAACCCTAAGATCATTCTTCATCCCACCACACTTGTTCTTTTGATAGTTAAGACTAAAGAACTGTCCAGTTCCTGTGTTTTATTTCTTGCTGCTTTTATTTTAATAGAACTTCCTAGCATTTCTAATAACATTTTGGAGAGGGGTGTTCTAGGCAGGGTTGGTAGCACCATCCATTATTGAGGTTGTCTAACCCTTGTCCTTGTGAGACCCTGTTTTCAGTTGCTTTATAATTTTGCCAGGCTTAAACGTTTTGAGGTAGAATTTTATGTAGCTAGAGGTCTGCTTGTCGGAGCCCTTAGTTCTGACCGGACTGGGCATGTTACATCTCCAAAGAGTGACTGATCATGCTTCTTTGGGCTGTCAGTACAGGGACAAGTGGACTTTCCAGTAATCCCTGCAGCCAGGTGCTTGGGCTGGCATTAGGATGGAAAGCAGGTGGCTCCTTGCCTCTGTGCTCTGTGACCCCTTCCTGCTGACACCCAGGCAGAGAGGAGCAATAAGCCATCTGGTTCAAATGCAGAGATGGAAGCCTGACTGAGATAATGTGATGATGATGAGCACCATGGGAGATGGGGGGAAAGGAGGAAACACATAGCTATTTCCAGAGTGGGGTTTGAACAGTGTGTAGTAGGTCAGGGATGAGGCTCCATATTGAATACTGACGAGAAAATAGAATAGTGGATAACTGCACTTTCAATAAGTATTGTCCCTTTTGTGCACACTGGCCTTATGGGAAAAAATTGTGACCATGTTGTAGCATAGTTGCCCCGGTAGCCTTAATTCTGGCATTTCATACCTATTGTGTGTGTCCTCCTAGTTCCAGACCAGTGTTGTCATGGGCGTGTGTGGGCTGATGAATCTGTCCTTTGAAACAAAATAAAATAGTGCCTCTTATTCATTCCTGTATCTTCCCTGAGGCAACAGGCAAACAGTTAGGGTGCGTCCTAGTATTTCAACACTGATTCACAGTGAGAGAAAGTTCTCCAGAATAATAGCCCTTGGGGAGGCTGACATTCAGTTTTGTGGCGGAGAAAACTCTGGAAACCCTGTTGAGTTCTGCTTTCCATTCCTTGGCTGTCTCAAAGTCAGGACTATGTGCTCACACATGAATAGGTCCTGATTTAACAAAGTACGTAAGCAATTGCTTGAGCTCTGTATTGATCTAAGTCAAAATTTATGCTGATAGTCCTGTATATGGGAAACTCCCAGTTTCTAATCTTAGTTGTGATGCTAAGTGTTCACAAGGCATTCAGTGGACTGCTGAATATTTGACTCAGTTGACCTATTAGTAAAAGAAAAAAAGAATATTTATGTTGGATACTATAGCTCTCAGGGGCTATTGGAGGGTAAATTGTTTAATGTGCGTACAAGCAGTTTAAATTGAAGATGGCTGTATTACTTTCTCTTGGGTGTAACTCGGCCCTTTCAACAAAACAAAATAAATGTATACCATAAAAGTCTTTAGTGATTTAAATGTATTTATTTAAACATTTAAATGTTACAGACATCTAGGATCTGTTCTATTTTGTTTTTATGCAGACTTCCTCTGTTGTTACTTAAACAGTGCATTATCTATTTCTCTGTTCAGATAGTACAATTTTTTGCATATGCATTTAAAAAAGGGGGGGACTCGCAAAGACTGAGAAATGAGTGGGATGTTTAATACAGCTTTTGAACCGTTTATGTCATTGGAATAGTGACCTTTAATTCATCTTACAGTATCTCTTAGGTTTAAAAATATGTATCATAGTATCTACTTAATTGCTAGCATGCAGCCAGTACTTGGTATTATTTATGATATTTTTGTTAACAGAGAGGTTATTCATTCTAAAAGGTTACATTTGGTGTTAGCTCCCACTGTTACTAGTTAGCAGATTCTTCCCCTGACCTGTTCATAGTACCATAAACTGGTACTCTTATAAGGTCAGATTTTGCTTTGTCCATCTCACATCCTGTATTGCCTTAAGGGGAAGAGCTTTAGGTCTCAGAAAACTGTGATTTGCTCCCTCTTCTTCTGTTGACCTGATAAAAGGTAGACTCATTAGATTAATTCTTTGGTGCTCTGGCTCAATGAAACACTAATCATTATCACGATTTTTTTTAATGCCAGAAGTAGTTTTAATTATTATTTTATTTAGCTGTGGTTCAGATTGTTCTCACTCTCGCTCTGTCAAGCCCAACTCCAGTTGTGTGTTTGTGAGTTGACTTCAAAAGGAGCTGAATTGGAAATTTAGTATTTCTGTAATTCCCTCTGTCAGTTTTATCCTTCTTGAATGGCTACATCCCCTGAAGCATGTGTGTTGAGATATGTGCACACAAACATTATAAGCACTTGGAGGGAAGAAAGGGCCCTTTGAAGGAATTGGTTGATGCACATAATGTTTTGACATGGCAAAAGATCTATTGAAATAAATCCCGTGGCAGATTACTGTCCTCAGTAGAGGACTCCCTGCTGTTGAACACAACGCTGTGTATGATCTTTGTCAATAGATGAAGTATTAGGAGTGTGTATGTCTATGAAAATAACTGTTGTTTGTACAGATAGGAAAGTAATCCTTGAAATTTACTTGGACCTGCTTGGCAAAGTAAGAGTTGGCTATCAGTAGATGAAAACAGTGAGATCTCTCTTGAGCTCTGCCATCACCACTGGTCAGTAACAGAAATTCCTACTGAGGGTTTTGGATGCCAAGAATGATTTAAAATGGCTGCAGGGAAAAGGAAATGGTCCATTTAGAAAAAGGGGCAGAAAGAAAGCAACTGCTAAGCTGCGTGCTTCATTTTTCAGGTGTCAAAGCAAGCCAAAGAGTTCCTGGAGTATGTGTACGAGGAGCCATTGATTGACATCCAGCAAGAAAATCCCATGTTGTACAAGCATGTTGAGCCACTGGCAACTGTAGTCCGACTGAGACAGCAGCTGAAATCTCTCAGAGCCTATTTGTTCAGCTGCAGAGCAGCAGTGGCCGAAGACCTGCGTAGGAGGTAAGAACCAAGGACACCATGCAGCACAAGAATCCTGTTTTCTCGTCTCCACATGTTCAACCTTTGCCTCCCCTCCTTAGTTCCCATGATTCCGTTCTTAAGGCATTACCAACTGTGAAAGGTGGCTGCACTGTAGTTTTCAGCAGAGGCTTCCCTATGCATCTGGGAGCAGTTGTCTACTGCCATAGGAAAGCCTATCACAGTGATTTGTATAAGCTTATTAAGGTTTTATTGCATAAGTTTATTTATTGCTGCTGCTCCTAGAGTGTCTGAATCAGAAAATGCATAGTTATCTCAGGACATCCCTGCAAGAATAAAAATTGCATAGTTTGGGTGCTGTCTGTTTTCCTTCTCCTGTTCTTTTCCCCTCAACATAAAATGGCTACACCACAATCCTTTTATCAAAGCAAACTCCATTTGAAAACAGTGCATCTTAGTCCACTAGCTGTTGATGACCTCAAACCAACTATAAACAGCTGCTCCTCTTAAATAGCAGCAACTTGATCTTTTAAAGGCTAAGTTGTTTTTTACCTTGGATCTGCTAAGAACTGAGGTGGAAGTCGCTCTTCAGTTCCCCTATTTCTCTTCTGTGAGCTGAGTGCATTCAAGCAAACACAGCTGACTTGTAGAAGCATACATGTCTCTTAAGCATTCAGATTTGCTAATAAGACAAATCTCTGTCACTTTTAGTTAAAAAAGGTACTACTTTGGACTGTTCAAATTTCAGAGAGCAAGAATGCCATGTAAAGGACTGTCCACTCCCTGTATTTTGAGTATGCATTTTAGAGAGGCAGTGGTGGTAGTGAGCTTAATTCTTTGAAGGGAAAGTGGGGGTCTGGATTGGCTACTTCATCCCAGCAGTAGGAGAAAGGTGATGTTTGCTATTCAAGAGAGAACTTATGTCATCTCCTTGAATAGTTGCTGCAGGTACAGCTAAGTCAAGATGGCTATGGTGGCAAGGTTCTTAAAAGCAATAGTGCAGCTCCATGTATTCAACCCACAGGGTATTATTATATGTGAGTGTTGGAACGGAGCAGTGATGCACACATTTCCTATAAAACTTTAAGGGACACACATACAGCATTTTCAAACTTAGAATGCTTTTCTGTCTCTTCAGTGGGCTGTATTATCCTTCTAGAGATTCTTCTTCTGTGCAGTTATAACAACTCTTTTATTTTATTCCTTTCATAGAAAATAAAACCAAAAGAACAGTAGTTATAGAGGTTGCCATTCAGAAAAGTGGCTGAAAAGAAATTATGGCTTTTGATTAATACTGGAGAAGAGAATGCTCTGATTAAAAAAGAGAAGAGGAGGCAGCAAAGACTGAAGGAAGTCAATGAAGAGAGTGAAAGAAAAGAGATCAAAGGAGAATTGAACAGAGAGAGGCAGTGGGGCAAAGGGGAAAGAGCAGAGACTGCAGGAGATACTGAGATCCAGAGATGCTGGGAAAGGGTCCCCAGGAAGTAAAGAGGCCTATAAGGATTGAGAACAAAGGAAAAACCTGACAGAATGAGAATAAAGAGAACCTACCTAGGGGCCAAAAGGGGAACATTGCAGAAAAAGAGGAGGCTGAGACGAGTAGCATGGAATTAGGCAGCAAATATGGGAGAGGTGTCAGGCTTTAGAAGAAAAGAGAGGACAAAAGAATGTCGTAGAAGTATTATAGCTATAAGTAATCAAAGGGCATAGACAGCTGAAACATTTATAACAAATTAAAAAGGAGGGGGGACTTGCTACCCATGAACACACGTGTTTTGTAACTGTTTCCCAGGCCTGTACCATCCTGTGGTGCAAGTAGAAGCTAAAACGCAATAATTTAACATCTTCACTCTGGGATAAATTCACTGTGGCTTAGCGCCCACTTACTGTGGGTTAAGAACCAACACATGAAACAATTGCTGTGTGTGAAGTTAATCCACTATGAGTTCCTCCACTCTTTTTTTTAATTTAGTATGTTTATCTTGACATATCCCAAATAAGTAAATTGTAAGCAACATTCCAATTGGTTAAATAGAAGAGGAAGGATATATCTCCTTTCTAGTCCATGTGCATCTGCTAGTTTTGTACCAAGATGCATCTGAAGGTTCTTTTTTTTTCTCCCCTTATAAATTGCCCAGAAGCTTTGGGATTAAAGCAAAGATGGCATTGAAGAGCTGCTAATGGATACTCTGTTTTCTTAACATTCCTGACAGCGTAAACCCAAGCTATGCTTGTTCTTGTGTTTGCTGCTCTTCATCTTGGGGGAATGTGCGTCCAGTGTGGTAGGAAAATGAGGCAGATAAAAAAAACCCTTCTAAAGCCTAAAGTGTAGTTAGCTGGATAACATATGCTATTGAAAATCTCCACCAGAGTTGAGTGACTTTTGGCATCTTTCTGGTCACTGGCAACCACCTCTAAGGGCAATGACACAGAGAAGAAAGCCATACCCCTCCGCTGAAGGGGTTCCAATATCTTTCATAGTGTGAAAACCTTGAATCTCAGCATAACACCTTTGCAAAGTCGATATTAAGAACAAAAAGTCATCAAATGGACAAGTTACAAGACAAACTGGAATTTAAACAGCAGCATACGTTAGTGCTACTAAATTTAGTACTGTTTCCTAGTTAGAAATGTAAAGGATGGGGAAGGAATCCAGAATGCAGTGTTATCTCTCTGTCCTAAAGGTATTCTTTTTCAGCTTGGTCTTCACCTTAATATATGAATGACTATTAATCACTAGGAAGTGAACATAGCATCTTGAAGGCCTGTCAAACCCATATAAACAAACTGAAATGAACTGTTAATATTGCTGTCTACAGGGAACTAAAAACAGACTGATTAATTGTGTTGGCACCTTGCTGCTTTTTCGGACACTGATAGCCTGCCTTATTTGGGAAAAGCAGATTGGCCTGCAGGGTTTTTTATTAATATTATTCTCATGATCATCCTCTTTAAATCTATACCTTGCTCTTGAACCCAGATCACAAAACTAAGATGGCAATTAATTTGGGAGTTCTTGGTGTCCTTTAGGACGACTAAAATGTTTACAGTGCTTTACAAGTTGCTATTTCTGAAGAATACCAGATGGCTATAAACCAGGTTAGCTCAGGATCTAGTTGACTTAAATGTGGAAACATTATTTATAATGGTGATGTACATAGGCACTTTGCAAACTTTGTTAAAACTTAGCACCCAGTAGAGAATTTGGGACTGATCCACTTTATAAACTTTAAAGAGGTGAGGACTGAAAAATGTAAGAATAGCTTTAAAAAAATCTCAAGAGCTAGTGACTAATGTTTCACCATATTAGAAGCCTGTAATACCTTGTAGCCCAGAAGAGCTCCAGTTCAGTTGTTTATTTTGCTGGTCTATCATTGTCTACATGAGTAATGACAATTTCTGGGTACTCATTTCATGCTGTTTTTAAATTTGGAAGGGAAGATCAAACAAAGAAAAAGCAGTTTGGCTAGGGACCATAGGGACATCCTCAACTGAGGTAAATCAGCACGGTTTAATTGAGCTTAAATCAGCAGAGGACCCATTATCAACTTCTCTGTTTGATGAGGAGTATTGTTACAACTAGTTTGCTGTAACTGTCACCTCCAGATTAGAAACAACCTAATTTTTTCCCAGTAACTGAACAGTTTACCTATTTATGGTTGTTTTAAACTGTTCAGCTTTGTAAACTTTTAGGCTAAAATGCAGATCTTAGAGTTTAGCAATTTTTAAATTCTCAGTTTTACATTCATAGTGTTAATCTAAACTCCGGACTAGAAGATAGAAGCATTTAAGAGAGGAAGCCAATTGATACATTTCTGCAACAATAACCTTCCTAAATTAGAGAGGAAAAACAAAACAAAACATATTCCTTATGTTTCCTACTCTGACCTTAGATCATACAGTGCTCAGAAGTGAGGAGGGAACAGGGGAAGGAAACTGCATGTAGGCATGCTTTGCTTTGCCTGTATCATTTGTTTTTTGGTGTAGATAAAATAGAGAGAGGTTTATGTTTACAATCTTTACTGAAGTTTAGGTGTCTGAAGAAATTAGTTGGCCATGCTCACAGGGTTGGAGTTTTGGGTGCTTAAGCACTAGTACTGAGAGGGCATTGGGCAGCTGTGCTGTTAAGTTCCTGTCTCAAGAACAGATGTGGAACTTGTGCCTAGGAAATGTACCAAAGAGGCCAAGAAAAAAAGATAGTGCTGGAGCTTACTTGGAACAAGGGAAGATTTTGATTATACAGACCCAGTGTGTGGGAACCCAAATGTAAAACCCAAATGAATGTTCTGCTGGGGAAGTTCCACCTGGCCTGTATGACAGTTTCCATTTAAAGAACCGATATCTTGAAAAGAAACTTCCACAAAATTCTGTTATTCAGAAGGCAACAAAATTCTCTGGTTCACATAGCATCTATTGGTAATTAAGCCATGCCTGGGAAATGTAATCTGTACCTCCTGTCAAATAGATTAGTAATATTAGGCATCTAACCATGACTTAGCCTTGATTCTTCGATTTAAGATAGATTGCTTTGGGAATACTGTATCTTGATTCCCAACTGCATTTCCATTAGCCATGAGTATTGTTTGAAATATTAGTTCTACCCATATTCACCCTAATGAGATCACTTTGGGGTCTGCTTGCAGCAAACATCAAGGTCTCATTGATCTTCATTTAATTTTAAGATGGTTAGAAGTCTAAACAGAAGAGAGGTGGTGCTATTAACTTGTAAATTGAAGCCATCTGTCCCAAAGTAATTCTCTGCGTTCTGTACTTAATATCATTGACACTTAGTTTCCTATTTTGAGCTACGATAATTAGTAAATTTCATACTGTTTTCATGATCTTACTTGTACTAGCTACCTAGAAGTGGAGTTTATGACCTCCTACACTTCAGAGTTTTTACCACTTTGAGTTCTGACTCAGGATTTCTGCTAAATGCCTGATCATTTTTTTTTTTATTAGTCTACCCTTGAATATTCAGTTTTATGGAACTTAATAATAAGCATATACTGTGCTTTCCT